AGTTACTTTGGTAAAGGGAAAATTGTTTGCTGATGGAATACGACAGCCTGAGTTACCTTTCGTTCTTTTCTCTTTTTCTTACGGTCGACGTTACGCGATTTTCGTATTGTACGATGAATTTTGTAATTTGCGAAACAAAGCGAACTTTACGTTGAGTTTATAATTTTTGTACACGTTAAAGATTACAAGTTGACGTTCAGTTCTTGCGAGAAATACTGCTGAGTCTTAAGAGTCTTAAGAGAATTTTTCATTGTGGCTGTATGTTAGTATGAAAGTGAAGAAATAAAAGAGTACACTAGCAGGGGAATGGATATATTCGAGTTTATCTTCCGCCTTTGCGATCACTTGCATCTATTAAAGTTAGAGAAATTTACCAAATGTCCAGCTGGACAAATTGTGAAACAGAAATTAAAAATAAAAAGAAGAAACTTCCATCTAAGTTACAAGATAGGACAATAGAAAACTTAGACAGAAAGAAAAATAAAAAGAGAAGAAAACCGAACCAGAGAACGATAGACGTAAACTTACTCATAAACAAAAACAAAATAAATAAATTACAGCAATGATCATAAATTAGCCCAAACTCTGTTACATACATATACAACTAAAACTGAACCAGAGAACTATAGATGTAAACTTACTCATAAAGAAAAACACAATAAATAAATTACAGCAATGATCATAAATTAGCCCAAACTCTGTTACATAAACATACAACTGAAACTGAACCAGAGAACAATAGATGTAAACTTACTCATGAACAAAAACACAATAAATAAATTACAGCAATGATCATAAATTAGCTCAAACTCTGTTACATACATAACAACTAAAACTGAACCAGAGAACTATAGATGTAAACTTACTCATGAACAAAAACACAATAAATAAATTACAGCAATGATCATAAATTAGCCCAAACTCTGTTACATACATATACAACTAAAACTGAACCAGAGAACTATAGATGTAAACTTACTCATGAACAAAAACACAATAAATAAATCATAGCAATGATCATAAATTAGCCCAAACTCTATTACATACATATACAACTAAAACTGAACCAGAGAACAATGGATATAAACTTACAATAAATAAATTACAGCAATGATTATAAATTAGTCCAAACTCTGTTACATAAACATACAACTACCTCTAACAAAAACTGAACCAGAGAACAATAGATGTAAACTTACTCATAAACTAAAACACAATAAAGAAATCATAGCAATGATCATAAATTAGCCCAAACTCTGTTACATACATATACAACTACCTATAACAAAAAGTGAACCAGAGAACAATAGACATAAACTTACTCACAAACAAAAACACATACACAATAAACAAATCATAGCAATGATCACAAATTAAGCTCAAACTCTGTTACATACACAAACAACTACCTACATCTGTCCTTATAATACAAGTTAGTATTTACCTATGTTTACCTAATATTGTATATGTTATTCGACCGCATCCGGTACCATATATACACATGATACAGCAATTTTATAAAATATATAATTTTGCAGTAGTACAAGATGTCCCTTAACTAGCAGCTGCACTCAAAGATTCTGCACATGAAAACAACAAAAACAGTTCATATGAACGTATTCGGCCTTGTTTACGTGTTACATTGAGCTTTACGTTCGTATAAGTCTACCGAACAATAGAAACAATATAAAATTCAGAATTCACCGAATGTCCAGCTGGACAAATTGTAAAGTACAAATTAAATAAAAAAAACTCGGTCTATCCATTTACTCTAAAAGAGGTCGCAACAGCTAACTGTAACTTAAAAGCCACTGTCTACCGGCTATTGATAATTCTCAAATCTCCCACTTTTGCAAACTATTTTCAACCTCGCCAAAGTTAGTATCCGCTTCTCGCAAGAAGCGGCGTCGATTTATATAAGAGTACACCGTGTATATGAACGGCGACAGGCTAGCGAGTTCCGCGGCTACGTGTGCGTGTGCAAATCGTGCGTGCCAACTTCCGCGGTGTACCACCTGGGTGGTCCACGATCGAGGAATACGAGAATTAGATAGCTCGATAAGACGTACACGCATTTGTACGCACACCCCGTCGCTGTTACGTAGCTCGGCGACGTATCCGCTTGAAATCGTTAGCTGCCAGCCGATGGAAATACAGTACTAACGATGAATTGTGAGCCGTACGGCGGCGGAGCAGGGGCCCGAAGACCACAGCCCGAAATTATATAATTGAAATTTTATCTCGCAGCCGGATCCGAGCGTTCGAAACACTGTGTAAACGCCGCGACGCTTCTGTCGTATTTCTTCGTGGCGTAATTCCTTCGAGCGCGCGATTAATCATTCTGGAAATTTTATAGCGAGTATTTTCGGCCGAGAGGAGACACGTCGACTGGCGCGCTCGAGATTTAAATTAAGACGACGGCGCGTCGCTGCGATTCGCTCCATTTTTATTATTCTCAAACCTCGATCGCTGGTTACATGACGCGATCATGGCGGTTTAGTGGAGGAAACGTTGACAGGTTTCCAGCGGTTGGCTGCTTCTGACGAGTATACTCGTCACGAAGAAATGGCAATATTCCGCGTTACCACGAAAAAGCAAAATAGTCATTTCGTTGTAACTTGATTCTGTATTATAACATGTACTCTGTGCTTGACGAGTATACTCGTCATGAAGAAATGGCAATATTCCGCGTTACCATGAGAAAGCAGAACAGTCATTTCGTTGTAGCTTGATTCTGTATTATAACATGTAGTCTGTGTTTGACGAGTATACTCGTCACGAAGAAATGGCAATATTCCGCGTTACCACGAAAAAGCAAAATAGTCATTTCGTTGTAACTTGATTCTGTATTATAACATGTACTCTGTGCTTGACGAGTATACTCGTCATGAAGAAATGGCAATATTCCGCGTTACCATGAGAAAGCAGAACAGTAATTTCGTTGTAACTTGATTCTGTATTATAACATGTACTCTGTGTTTGACGA